AAAATGGAAACAAAATCTTTGTAAATAGGGAGGGGTGGAGGGGTGGAAGGGAGGGCAGGGGAAGGGGGAAAAATAAGAACCAAGAGAGTATGTAAAGGTGCATATCTCCAATGATGAATGTCATTATACTGTACACCTAAAATGTACCAATAAAAGGATTTACAAAAAAAAAGAAGGCCAATTTGCTAGCAGCCACATTTCTACATTTGATCTGATAAATATTGAATAGAAACTGCCCCCAAGCTCCTCTTCCCGCCACAGGTTAAGCGAACCCTATTCCCAGGTTCAATGATAATGAACTTCAAAGGACTCTAAAGATTGCCACTATCCCATCAAAAGTGGGGACACAGAGATCCCAATTCTGTAGCACCATCACCCCAGGTTTGGCACACCACACAGACTGGCCGCCCACATCTCACTGGGCTGAAGCTGCTTTCCCAGGGACTGGTAGCCATGGGTGGCTCCTTACAGTGTGGAAGGGTAGGAGTCTGGGGCATTGGGGGTCTAGGGAGGAGAGCAGTGATGGTGAACCTTTTAGAGCTTTCAGGAAAAAACACAAAGACAGACAGAGAGGGCTGTATATTCAAATGTGTTTGCTGATGTTGACTCCACCCTAAATGTCTATCATTAAGATAAACTGTGGCAGGCCCTTATGGAAGAAAAGAGAAGTACATAAAGGGCTGCACTCCAAACTTTCACCATTAATAAATGTGTGACTTAAATTTGTTCCTAAAGAAGTGAAACAATTGTGTAGTAAACAAGAAGTACACTTACTTGTGTGTACATGCGCGCGCGCACACACACACACACACAAAACCTCTTCACTTCTAGTCACACTAGGACAATGCTGAAAATGTCACCTTTAAAACTTTAGGAGTTAATTTTTCTATAGCAAATCTGTTGTTAAAATACAAATATTCTTTATAAATGCACTGAAGTGAATTTTGTGGAATATTTGTACCCCTATTAAATATTTTTCCTGCTTTTTTATTGGTTAAACAGATTAATGGATTTCATTTTGGCACATTCGTACATGTACATATCATTTTCACCTCCTATTACCCCCTTGCTCCACACCTCCACCTTGCTTCACTCTTTTGGGGAGGGTTTAATGCACATGATGTATTTTGTTCATGTCTACCTCCTCTTTTACTGACCGTTACACTCCCTTGCCCCTCTTACTCATTTTTTTTTTTTTTTTTGGTACCGGAGATCAAACTCGGGTCCTTGTGTTTGTGAGGCAGGCAGCAGAACCACTGAGCTAAATCCCCGGCCCTGCCCTCCTTCTTATTCTCTTCCTCTTGACTGGTAATAGTGTCCCTTCTGCTTTCTTGTTATCTTTTTTAGATTCTACATATTAGGGAGAACATGTGATAACTGTCTTTCTCAGTCTGGCTTATTCCACTTAACATTATGGTCTATAGATCCATCCATTTTCTTACAAATGACAGAGTTTTGTTCTTCCTTGTGGCTGAATAGCACTCCATAGTGAATTATATTCCATATTTCCTTTATCCAGTCACATTGGTCCCCACCTAGGCTGGGTCTATATCTTGGCTATTATGAATTGTGCTACAATAAATGTGGGTATGCAAATATCCCTAATAGTATGCTACATTAATTGCTTTGGGTATATACCAAGGAATGATATAAATGGGTCAAACCATATCTCTATT